ATACATAGACTGAACAAGAAAACCAGCATTCGCCAGTAAGTGGCGGTGACATCACCACAACGCTTGTGCCAGGCTATGTGCACCTTGAGGCCACGTGAAGTGTCGAACATCCACTGCCAGGAGGTCATGGGGCAGACCCAGATGGCACAGGTCGACTGACTGAGACGACTGGCTGATGCATCACCTGTTCCCCCTACTGTGGCAACGTGCTGTGCTTTAGCCACCCAGCGCTCCGCTCATTGTTGTGAGTATCGCTCCTCCGCCCTCCATTGCTGTTGAAGGGCGACTGCCTCCAACTGCACAGTAGTGTCCTTCAGGAGCCTCCTCCACAGAGGCCGATCTTGACACGGCTGTTACCAGTCATCGGCAAGTCGACTCAGCTCCACGTCCTCCTGTACCACATCACTCCATGTCTTCTCCAGCCCGTGCTGCGCCCGTTTAGCCCCCTCGATCCGGCCGAACAAATGCTGTTTAGGCATGTGGTGGCTGGCCATGCGGGCCTCATGACTCAGGCAACACAGCCTTGCCTGCCGGAGGAGCTCACCGATGGGACTTTTTGCACATCTTTCAAGGATTTGTGAGCTCCTCACACAATGCAGCCTGGTTAAAGCCAGGATGGATCGTAGGCAGGCCATCCTAAATGTTTCTAACCGGCAAAGATGTTCCATTAGGTGGTTCCAAGTTTTGCAAGCGTAGAGAAGGGAGGGAATGACCATGGCTGAGTAGACCTGAAGCTTCGTGCAGAGTGATAAACCAGGTAGCTTCCACACAGTGTTACGTAACCAATGAAAACATAATGTGGCTCGACTAATTCGAAGTGAGACCTGTGTTATTAAACCGGAGCCAGTCATTTGCACATTGGCAAAGTATGAGAAACTCTCCAATGTCTCCACAACTGCCACATCACCAATTGGGAGTTGTGGGGGTAGACTGTCCGATGGTATAAAATACCCAGGCAGGTGCTTAGTTTTGGTGGGGCTGATGGTTAGGCCCCACCTCTTAGTGGCAAGCTCCAGGTTTAGCAGCAGCGCCTCGAACTCCTCCGAGTGAGCAGCAAATAGAAGATCATCGGCATACATAACGTGGTTGAGCAATAGGCAACCATTCTTTGACCGCACCCGGGCATTGATCAGCCTCCCATTGTATCTGTAGCAGATGGTAATTCCTCCGAAGTACGTGGTAAAAATATACGTAAAATAATGTGGGAGCCAGACATCCCTGTTGCACCGGAAGGTGTAAAGGGAATGGCTCTGACTCACGGCCACGTAGTTTGACGCGGGGCTGCTCACCATCATGAAGGTCCTTAAGGATCATGAGCAGAGGGTCAGGGACTCCGAAAGCACGAAGAACAACCCAGAGGCCAGGCCTACTGATGGTATCATAGGCCTTGACCAGGTCAATAAACCACACACATGGACTAAGACACACACAAGAACCAACAGACACGCAAAGAAATGGACTTCCAATCACTAACATGGAGCTACGCACACATAGCGACTAACACACACGCACATGGACTGACACACACCTACACACGTCGACTCACACACACACAAACACATCGACTTACACACACACACATATGGACTCACACACACATACATATCCACTTGACATACACACAACAACCGCCATTCGCCACTAAGTGGCGGTGACGTCACCACGATGCTTGTGCCAGGCCATGTGCACCTTGAGGCCAAGTGAAGTGTTGAACACCCGCTGCCAGTAGGTCATGGGGCAGACCCAGATGGTACAGGTCGACTGACTGAGACGACTGGCTGATGCACCACCTGTGCCCCCTACTGTGCCAACTTGCTGTGCTTTAGCCACCCGGCGCTTCGCTCGTTGTTGTGAGCATCGCTCCTCCGCCCTCCATTGTTGTTGGAGGGCATATGCCTCCAACTGCCCAGTAGCGTCCATCAGGAACCTCTTCCACAGAGGCCGATCTTGACATGGCTGGTACCAGTCATTGGCAAGTCGACTCAGCTCCACGTCCTTCTGTACCACATCACTCCATGTCTTCTCTAGCCCGTGCCGCGCTCGATTAGCCCCCTCGATCCGGCCGAACAAAAGCTGTTTAGGCATGCGGTGGCTGGCCATGCGGGCTACTTGACTCAGGCAACGCAGCCTTGGCTGCCGGAGGAGCTCACCGATGGGACTTTTTGCACATCTTTAAAGGATTTGTGAGCTCGTCACACAATGCAGCCTGGTTAAAACCAGGATGGATCATAGGCAGGCCATCCTAAATGTTTCTAACTGGCAAAAATGTTCCATTAGGGAGGTCCAAGTTTCGCAAGCATAGAGAAGGGAGGGAATGACCATGGCCGAGAAGAACTGAAGCTTCGTGCGGAGTGATAAACCAGGTAGTTGGTCGATGGCGCGCAATAAGTAAATAATTAAAATAATAAATTTCATAGATTTGTTAATTAAACTACTTTAAAGTTTACGGATGGGAAAACTGAATCGCCCACCGTTTGAGAGCCAAATCCCTTGCAAGCGCGCACGCCCAGAGACTTTTGCATGTAATACAAGATATAATATGTACAGAAACACACATAAGCCCATACAGATACTCAAAGACCTATATAGATAAACACAGACCCATAGAATTACACAGCGATACACAGAGACTCATAAAGATATACATAGATAGAAAGAGATACAGAGAGACCCATATATTCACGAGACCCATAGATATACGCAGACCAATAGAGACACAGAGATCCATAGAGATGCACAAAGATACACAGGGACTCATAGAGCTACTCAGAGACCCATATAGATACACAGATACGCATTGAGATACACAGAGACCCAAAGCTATACACTGAGGCCCATATAAATACACAGAGACCCATCGAAATACACAAAAAACAATAAAGATACACAGAGACCCGTCGATTAATATAGAGACACAGAGAGTCCAATATACCAATATAGACACTCAGAGACCCATTGAGATATTCAGAGACTCATAGAGATACACAGAGACCCATAAAGACTGATAGAGATGCATGCACGTCAATAGATATACATAGACACGTAACGGTAGATAAATACTAATCTAGATCTGAAGTTTCCGTGACTGCAGGGATCCATACTATTTGGTTCTTTCGGTAAAATCACGTATGTATAAAATAAATTAAATCACGACGTTTGGATCGTAACACAAGCGATCGTCATCAGGTGGAACAGATACAGCAGAAGAACTGCTGACATAGGAGAAAGAGCTGCTGCAATAAGAGTTTATATCGGATTTTAGTGGGCTCAACCCAATGGTAAGTGGGAGGAGCTAGAAAAGCTCCTCACATTTACCCTTGGGTGAGGCAGCCAAGTTACAGGATTCCCACCACCTCCGGTGGCTGGGGACCTTCTTACATTGACATTTTAATTACGTACAAATTCCCTTTCTAGCTCCTCCCACTTACCATTGGATTGAGCCCACTAAAATCCGATATAAACTCTTGTTGCAGCAGATCTTTCTCCTACGTCAGTAGTTCTCCTGCTGTATCTGTTCCACCTGATGACGGTCAGTTGTGCTGCGATCGAAACGTCGTGATTTATTTTATTTTATACCTACGTGACTTTACCGAAAGAACCAAAGAGTATAGATAGATACTCTTAGAGATGAATACAGATACTGTACATAGCGACCCATAGAGATGCATAGAGACCTATTGAGATACAGAGACCCATGGATATGAACAAGGGCCATTAGAGATACATAGAGATACACAGAGACCCATCGAAATATACAAAGACCAATAAATAAACATAGAAACCCGTAAAGATCTATAGAGACACAGAGAGACTAAGACACTCAGAGACCCAATAAGATACTCAGAGACTCAAAGAGATACACAGAGATACACAGAGAGCCACAGAAATACACAAAGACCCATAGAAATACACAGAGGCCCAGATAGATACACAGATCAACACAGATATACAAGAAATACCGATATAATATTTATACTCAGAGATCCCTAGAGATGCTAGACTCAGAGATAAGTAAATATACATTCAGATCCATAGATATACATAAACACTCATAGAGATACATAGAGGCGCATAAAGATACATAGAGACTCTTAGAGATGAATAGAGATCCATAGAGACTCATGGAAATAATAGAGATGCATCGAGTTCCTATATGTCTTGACTTTAGGCCACCCTATATACGAACCACCCTTTATAGATGTCTGACTTTAAGTGATGCCACACTAAGTGCAAACCCACTCTCCATTAGGAATCAATGTTAATAGGGCAGATTACATTCCGGGGGAAATTTACGATCGAATGTTTGTTTTTTATATTTGTGTACATACATTGAACCACACCCTATACAGTATATACACATTAATGAATGCGTGCTGTTGGAGTGCAGCAATGCACAGGCAGAGCTGCACCTTGTATAGGAACCTGGAAATGCGACTTTAAGTAAAGCAGCACTAAGTGAAACCCACTTTCCCGTAGGAAGAAATGTTAATGGGAGAGGTTACGTTCCTGGGGTAGTGTTCTACCACACTTAAGAACGTACAAAAACGTTCTTAACATATGAATCACCCTATATAAATGATAATAGGGTTTTCCTCTTTTTATCTGGCAACAAAACAGGTGTTAAGATGTTAAAAAACCAAACTGAAAACTTTTACATGGAACCATGTCTGCACTAACCACAATGCTTGTGGTCAGAATGCAAACAAAAAAACATACTCTGATAATATATGCATTGTCCTTGAAACTGATTGGCCCACACCAGAGACAGCTTTCTTTTGAGCCTCGTCTCAAATGGTGTTTGCATTCTGACCACAAGCATTGTGGTTAATGAAGACATGATTCCTTGTAAAAGGGTGAGATTTTGGTCTTTTAACATCTTAACACCTGTTTTGTTGACAGAAAAAAGAGGAAAAACCTATTACCATATTTTGGTACGAGCAAAGGAGGTCCCATATACTTGCATTTTCTAAACGAATGTATATTTGAACGGATGCGTGCAGCTGGCGTACAGTCATTCACGGGCGGAGCACCGGGCTACATCTACGCCACCGGCTACAAGGATGGCTATTGGAGCGTCTTCTGCGCCAGGGCGCCTGCGCCTGGCGAGCACCTGTCCTGGTTGACGGCTTCGTTAAGTCTCCTGCAAATTTTCGCCGACGTCTACGCCGTAGGTTGCTCGTCCGACGAATGTTGGGCCTGCGACGCCTTGTACCGGCTGTGGCGTAAGCCCAACATTGACTGCGCCAACACGACGTGGGTGAGGGCGAGTGGTCCAGACGCTCCGGCTTTGCCCAGGAAAATAGAGGTGGACTCCGCGGGTGGAGTCTATCTCCAAGCAAACAATGGGCAACTCTACCACAGGTTAGAGTTTTGTTGTTAAGTCTATGGGTGGCAATGTTGAGTCAATAGGTCTAAGTGCTGAGTCTATGATACAGTGTTGAGTCTATGGGCAGTGATGTTTATTATATGGTGCAGTGTTGAGTGTATGCGTCTCAGTGCTGAATCAATTGGCAGTGCAGAGTCTATGGGTAATTTTGAGTCTATGGTGCAGTGATAATCTATGGTCAGTGTTGAGTCTATGGGTAGCAGTGTTGAGTCTATTGGTAGTGTTGAGTTTATCGGTGTTGAGTCTATGGGTGGCAGTGATGAGTCTATAGGTGGCAGTGTTGGGTGGCAGTTCTGAGTCTATGGAGCAGTGTTGAGAATATGGATGGCAGTGTTGAGGGTATGGGTGGCATTGCTGAGTCTATGGGTGGCAGTTTTGAGTCTATGGGTGGCAGTGTTGAGTCTATGGGTGGCAGTGTTGAGTCTAACGGTGGTAGTGTTGAGTGTATGGATGGCAGTGTTGAGTCTATGGGTGGCAGAGTTAAGTCTATGCGTCGCATTATTGAGTCTATGCATGCACTGCTGACTATATGCATGGCAATGTTGAGTCTATGGGTGGCAGAGTTGAGTTTATGCGTGTCAGTGTTGAGTCTATGCTTGGCAGTGCTGAGTCTATGGCTGGCAGTATTGGATCTATGGGTGGCAGTATGGACTCTATGGGTGGCAGTGCTCAGTCTTATAGGTGGCAGTGTTGACTCTATGGGTGGCAGTGTTAAGTCTCATGGGTGGCAGTGCTGAGTCCATTGATGGCAGTGCTGACTCTATGGATAGCAGTGTTGAGTCTATGGGTGTTAGTGCTAACTCTATGGGTGCAGTGTTGAGTCTATGGGTGGCAGTGATGAGTGTATGGGTTACAGTGCTGACTCTATGGGTGGCAGTGTTGAGTATATGGGTGGCAATGTTAACTCTATCGATGGCAGTGTTGAGTCTTTGCATCGCATTGTTGAGTTTATGCGTGGCAGAGTTAAGTCTATCTGTGGCAATGTTGAATGTATGAGTGGGATTGTTGCGCCTATGCGTCGCAGGGTTTAGTCTATGGGTGGCAGTGTTGACTCTATGGGTGGCAGTGTTGAGTCTCATGGGTGGCAGTGTTGACTCTATGGGTGGCAGTGCTGAGTCTTATGGGTGGCAGTGTTGACTCTATGGGAGGCAGTGTTGAGTTTCATGGGTGGCAGTGCTGAGTCTATTGGTGGCAGTGCTGAGTCTATGGGTGGCAGTGTTGAGTGAATTGTTGGAAATGTTAATTCTACGGGAGGCAGTGTTGAGTATCATGGGTGGCAGTGCTAAGTGTATGGGTTGCAATGCTGACTCTATGGGAGGCAGTGTTGAGTGTATTGATGGAAATGTTAATTCTACGGGAGGCAGTGTTGAGTATCATGGGTGGCAGTGCTGAGTCTATTGCTGGTAGTGCTGACTATGGATGGCATTGTTGAGTCTATGGGTGGCAGTGCTAAGTATATGGGTTTCAGTGCTGACTCTTTGAATGGCAGTGCTGAGTCTTATGCGTGGCAGTGCTGAATGTATGGGTTGCAGTGCTGACTCTATGGGTGCCAGTGTTGAGTGTATATGTGGCATTTCTGACTCTGTGAGTGGCAGTGCTGAGTCTTATGGATGGCAGTGTTGAGTGTATGGGTGGCAGTGCTGACTCTATGGGTGGCAGTGTTGAGTATTGTGGGTGGCAGTGCTGAGTGTTTGGGTTTGCAGTGCTGACTCTATGGGTGGCAGTGTTGAGTGTATGGGTGGCACTGCTGACTATATACATGGCAATGTTGAGTTTATGCGTGGCATTGTTTAGTCTATGCACGGCAGTTTTGAGTCTATGTGTAGTGGTGATACGCGCTGACAGTGGGGATCGTGGGGCAGCGCGTGGTGATTGGCTGTGTGCCGGTGACGCGCGCTGACGGTGAGGGATCACAGGGCAGCGCGGGGTCATGGGTTATGTGGTGGTGATTGGCTGGGTGTTGGTGACGCACACTGACAGGGAGTGATCGTGTGGCAGCGCGGGGCGATTGGTTGTGGAGTGGTAACACGCGCTGGGAAAACGGATCGTAGGAACAGCGCGCCGTGATTGGTCGACTAGTGGGTGCTCACATCGCGGTCCGCAAGAGGGCTATATAAGGCGGTGCGCGCAGGCGCTCGGGGAGTTGGTGACCAGCGAAGACTGAAGACGGCGGAGGAAGAGATAGGGCCCTGCGGCACCTAGTTCCGCTGTCCTTGTAAGGACCGGGGCTCTGTGTGACCCAGAGGCGGGACCCTGGGACCCGGGGCCGAACGTCCGTGTGAGGGCCGGCTCGCGGGACCTAGAGGTTGTGACCCACGCCCAAGCTTGGGGTGGGTCTGTAGGCTCCATGGACGTTACGGGGCTGGAATGCAGTGTGAGCATGCAGTGTGAGCATGCAGCGTAAGCTATAGTAACTACACGTGTCAGTGGAGTGTGTAGTGGGAGAAGTAGTGACCACACGTGTCAGTGGAGTGTGTAGTGTGAGAATAGAGACCACACGTTGTATCGTAACAAGTCAAGATTTAATAAAAGAGTGTGCTACCCGTCAAGTGGTTTCCTGCCGTCATTCCGAATACTTCATATGCATGGCAGTGTTGAGTCTAAGCATGGCAGTGCTGAGTCTACGGCTGGCAGTGTTGAGTCTATGGGTGGCAGTATTGACTCTATTGGTGGCTGTGCTGACTTTATGGGTGGCAATGTTGAGTATATGGGTGCCAATGTTTACTCTATTTATGGCAGTGTTGAGTATTTGCATCACATTGGTGAGTATATGCATAGCAGAGTTGAGTCTATGTGTGGCAATGTTGAGTCTATGGGTGGAATTATTGTGTCTATGCGTGACAGTGTTGAGTCTATGGGTGGCAGTGTTGAATCTATGGGTGGCAGTGTTGAGTCTATGGGTGGCAGTGTTGAGTCTCATGGGTGGCAGTGCTGAGTCGATTGGTGGCAGTGCTGACTCTATGGGTGGCATTGCTGAGTCTTATGGGTGGCAGTGTTGAATCTATGGGTGGCAATTCTGACTCTATGGGTGGCAGTGTTGAGTGTATGGTTGGCAATATTAATTCTACGGGTGGCAGTGTTGAATCTATGGGTGGCAGTGTTGATTCTATGGGTGGCAGTGTTGAGTCTAACGGTGGTAGTGTTGAGTGTATGGGTGGCAGTGTTCAATCTATGCGTCGCATTATTGAGTCTATGCATGCACTGCTGACTATATGCATGGCAATGTTGAGTCTATGGGTGGCAGAGTTGAGTTTATGCGTGTCAGTGTTGAGTCTATGCGTGGCAGTGCTGAGTCTATGGCTGGCAGTATTGGATCTATGGGTGGCAGTATGGACTCTATGGGTGGCAGTGCTCAGTCTTATAGGTGGCAGTGTTGACTCTATGGGTGGCAGTATTGAGTCTCATGGGTGGCAGTGCTGAGTCCATTGGTGGCAGTGCTGACTCTATGGATAGCAGTGTTGAGTCTATGGGTGTTAGTGCTAACTCTATGGGTGCAGTGTTGAGTCTATGGGTGGCAGTGATGAGTGTATGGGTTACAGTGCTGACTCTATGGGTGGCAGTGTTGAGTATATGGGTGGCAATGTTAACTCTATGGATGGCAGTGTTGAGTCTTTGCATCGCATTGTTGAGTTTATGCGTGGCAGAGTTAAGTCTATCTGTGGCAATGTTGAATCTTTGAGTGGGATTGTTGCGCCTATGCGTCGCAGGGTTTAGTCTATGGGTGGCAGTGTTGACTCTATGGGTGGCAGTGTTGAGTCTCATGGGTGGCAGTGTTGACTCTATGGGTGGCAGTGCTGAGTCTTATGGGTGTGGCAGTGTTGACTCTGTGGGTGGCAGTGTTGAGTTTCATGGGTGGCAGTGCTGAGTCTATTGCTGGTAGTGCTGACTATGGATGGCATTGTTGAGTCTATGGGTGGCAGTGCTAAGTATATGGGTTTCAGTGCTGACTCTTTGAATGGCAGTGCTGAGTCTTATGCGTGGCAGTGCTGAATGTATGGGTTGCAGTGCTGACTCTATGGGTGCCAGTGTTGAGTGTATATGTGGCATTTCTGACTCTGTGAGTGGCAGTGCTGAGTCTTATGGATGGCAGTGATGAGTGTTTGGGTTTGCAGTGCTGACTCTATGGGTGGCACTGCTGACTATATACATGGCAATGTTGAGTTTATGCGTGGCATTGTTTAGTCTATGCACGGCAGTTTTGAGTCTATGCATGGCAGTGTTGAGTCTAAGCATGGCAGTGCTGAGTCTACGGCTGGCAGTGTTGAGTCTATGGGTGGCAGTATTGACTCTATTGGTGGCTGTGCTGACTTCATGGGTGGCAATGTTGAGTATATGGGTGCCAATGTTAACTCTATTTATGGCAGTGTTGAGTATTTGCATCACATTGGTGAGTATATGCATAGCAGAGTTGAGTCTATGTGTGGCAATGTTGAGTCTATGGGTGGAATTATTGTGTCTATGCGTGACAGTGTTGAGTCTATGGGTGGCAGTGTTGAATCTATGGGTGGCAGTGTTGAGTCTATGGGTGGCAGTGTTGAGTCTCATGGGTGGCAGTGCTGAGTCGATTGGTGGCAGTGCTGACTCTATGAATGGCAGTGTTGAGTCTATGAGTGGCAGTGCTGAGTGTGTGGGTGGCAGTGCTGACTCTATGGGTGGCATTGCTGAGTCTTATGGGTGGCAGTGTTGAATCTATGGGTGACAATTCTGACTCTATGGGTGGCAGTGTTGAGTGTATGGTTGGCAATATTAATTCTACGGGTGGCAGTGTTGAATTTATGGGTAGCAGTGTTGAGTCTATGGGTGGCAGTGTTGAGTCTATGGGTGGCAGTATTGACTCTATTGGTGGCTGTGCTGACTTCATGGGTGGCAATGTTGAGTATATGGGTGCCAATGTTAACTCTATTTATGGCAGTGTTGAGTATTTGCATCACATTGGTGAGTATATGCATAGCAGAGTTGAGTCTATGTGTGGCAA